CGTTTGCTTCGTCGAATTTGCCGCCGCATTCGATTCCATCCATCGTGAGTCCTTGTGGCTAATAATGGAACTGGATGGAGTGCTGACCAAACTCATTGCCATGATTAAGGCCTACTATCATCTGCGCATGGCTATGCCTATGTTTTCTACCTATGACTAAGGATTCCCGACGGAATCCGAAACGTCAGGAAAATAAAGTGGTGCAGCCTGTGCATATATCCACCTCATCTGCGCATGACCATGCCTATGTTATCATTTGAGACATGCGCAGATAAGGGGTCTGCGCATGTCTCAGACCTGTTTACGATAGCTATGACTAAGGATTCCCGACGGAATCCGAAACGTCAGGACAATAAAACTCATGTTCCAGTGGTGCATCACCTCTTATCTGCGCATATCTCAGACTTGTTTACGATTACCTATGAGTAAGGATTCCCGAGGGAATCCGAAACGTCAGGCAAATAAAACTCTTGTTCCACTGATCGCATGTTCTTCCTCTGAGCTAAAATGGGTCTTTTGACCACTTAAATAGTTGTTTCTGCATGCGCATGCGACTCAAGTGACATATACTTGATCGAAGTCTAAGATACAACGGTATATCGAAGCGCTCGGAAAGCATACTTTATGCGCTAAAGCAGAGTAAACCCTTTACCATTCTTCTAACTACCTTCCACTCAGCCTGAACTAATGTCTAGATTTTTTTAAAACCCACATTTTATGTATTTTTGTTTGGCTGTATTATCTTTACTCCTGTGGTTCTGGTTCGAACCTTATTGTTGATTTCACTACGACCGACGCTTATATCTGGGATTTAAAAATGCCACCAAGAATAATCCGCAGGGTTTTTGCACGAAAACCGCAGTCTTTCTAGAATTGTAGCACTTGAAAATTGCACGTCGGCATTTCGTATATTTTGGGTTTTAAACCAGTAGGCGTTGAATGGCTGTTAGCGAAAAAGCAAATGTGTTTTTATACTGTTTTTTTTTACCTCCTAGACGTTGTCGGTATTGCACATGAAACAGGGGAATTGCAGACAATAACTGCGAAGGCATCCCAGCGGGAGTTACAAAAGCGGGATGTCGGCCTAGTCGACACCTCCGGCTGTTTAGTTCGCCTCACGCTCTGGGGCACCGAAGCGGCCGAATTTGACGGCTCCACGAATCCCGCTGTGGTTATTAAGGCTGCCAAGATCTCCGATTTCAATGGTAAGTCCGCGAGGTTACCATTG